ATTTTAAGTCTGAACATTGAACAAAAACTAGGTCAGGAATTGGGGGAGAAGAAATTCTCTCTCATTTATGAGAGTTAGATTGATTTCTTTATATGTCTGGAATCGTGGCTTCAAGCTCTACAGGTTTCATGTTGGAAGATTTGGCAAAAGATCAAGGAATTGGAAGATAGAAAACGCGTGTTTTCTTGAACAAAAATGTTCTGAGGTTGAAGATGACAGGGTTCTGGGCTGGGCCTGTTTCCCTTTTCTTTTTGCACCATGTTTTCACTTTTACACCCCCTAGGCCCATTTTGCTTATTTTTATGACTTTTTGACTTTTTCTTTTTTGTTCTGACTTATTTATTTTTTCTTATGATATTAAAAATATAAAAAATATTTTTTACACCATTTTCATATTTATTAGGTATTTATTTGTTTAAGATCAATATTTGTACATAAATAAATATATAAACATACTTTTATTTTGAAAAATACTAAAATAATGCAAACACATTTTATTTTCCATTTTTATTTTATTTTATCTTCTGAAAATATTTTATATAAAATATACTTTTTTTATAAATATTAAATATTATTATTTTGTATATATAATATATATTTAGTAAATAATACAAATATTTACATATATATTAGTATATTTAGGTTAAAAATACAAAATATATACATTTTATTTTTTTATTAATATTTAACATTAAAAAATACCTTTTGACCAATATACTTCATTTTTGTTTTATTTTTTTATATAATAAATAAATTTCGTACATATTAAATAATTAATACATTTTATTTAATGAATTAGGGTTTTGCCCTAAATACATAAAAAAATCCAAAAATTAACACTTTTTATTTTGTTTATTTGACATATAAAAATACCTTTTTTTTCATACATATAAAAAACATTTTTTGCATCTTGCATATTTATTCCATTTTATTTAATTATTGTATATTAAATATCTTGTAAATTCCCAAATTGATGTAATAGTCTAGGTTTAAATTCCTTGTCAAAATACCCCCATTTGAACATTTGTACCCCCCTTCCCATATATTGTGTTGTAATAGTTTAGGACTTTATTTTTCGCACTTTATTGCTTTCTAATTATACCATGTTAGAGTTAGGGTTTGTATGCGAATCAAAAACAACAAAAATAGTTTGACCTAATTCCAAGATGATCAAGCATGAAAATGGACAACACTAATCACACTTGCACCCCTAGGGTATTCCACTTGTTGCCTTCAATAAATGGACCATATTGCATGTTAGGTCTCTTTGGGCAAAAACAAACAATCAAATGATCATAGTCCCTCGATGACGCTTTCAAAAGTTGTCTAAAAAATGATCGAGTCCCTTAAGAAACATTGCCCAAAGATACTTGGCACCATTGCAATTATGGTCTAAACGATGACCCGCGCCCGTCCCTTTCACATCCTAACATAAGATTGTCCACCAAATACAATGGTGGAACAAACTTGTTAAAAGGGTTAAAACATAGCAATAATCTTTGAGAAATTTAGGAGTAGATAACCTCTTAGTTACTTGAATCAAACTTGCAAAACAAAACACTTGCCTATTTTTAAAACCACACATCACTACACTTTCAAAACAACTTTCAAAAAACAAATGAAAACCTTTTTAAAAGACGTACACCTTTGTATACATCCCAACATGGATCATTACAAAGGTTGCCACCACATTGGCTTCTTTTCAAAAACATTTTCAAACCCACACACACAAGAGCACCATTTCAAACAATTGAAAACCAAGGCAAGTTGATCTAAGCAAGTAACTAAGAGCCCATGGATAGAAAGGGTGCTAATACCTTCCCTTTCTATAATCTACTCCCCGAACCCAAGAAAACATCTCAAAGGTTTTTGCTGTGCTTTTTAAACCTTTCCTTAGGATAAAATAAAAAGTCGGTGGCGACTCTTGCTCAACCGAAACATTTGCGAAAACAAACGCAAAACCTCAAGTCAGTTCTCCCACCGTATCACAATAATCATAAGAATGAAACCAGTAAAGCATTAGAATCAGGATTTGGAGTTAACACAAACCCGAGAGATGATGAAATAGTTTAAGAGATAATGAATGTGGAGGAAGAGGTAGAAGTTGTAAAAGAGAAAGAGGTGAGTGAAAACACGAGTGACTATTCTGTGAGAGGGGATATAATTGATCAACTTATAAATAGAAATTCACTCTTGAGGAGGACTAAGAAACATATTCTGAATGATCCTAGTCTAGAGCTACCTTACTATGTTAAACCACCTTATCTGATCATCAAGAAGAAACCAAACAATGAAGATGAAACACAAGTTACTAATATAATTTTAAGATCCAAATTATATAATTTTCCAGGTTTCACATACCGACCCATATGAGCTAATCCATTTTGACGGATCTAGAAAAAAAAATAGAGGTAATAAATATTGATATAGAATATGTGCAACAAGTCAAAACACAAAGGTCATTGCCTTGTAGACTTACATTGTGACTTATTTCCTAATAGTGCAATTATTGAGGAAAGTGGTCTCATCCACTTTGCATTTCTAGATGATGGAAACCATTGCGCTATAAAAAAGCCATGACAAATAAAGTGTAGAAGAAGGTCATATTAAGAGTCATTGAAAAGAAGGAGACATGTAAATTAGTAGAGCTACGGACGAATAAGAAGACAGTTGATGTTAAGAGGGTCATCAATATCAAGCTAAATCTCAACGGAACTATCTCACAACTTAAGGTAAGATTGGTGGATAAACACTTCCTACAAAAGCATGGATTTGAGTATACTGAACTGTTTGCTACTTTGACTAGATGGGAAACTATTAGGCTTATGGTAGCTCCAATTAGTAGTAAAAAGTTGACCTCTTAATATCTCTTTTTTAATCATCTTTTTTAAGTATTTGTCACCCAACTCATAGATTTACAAAGGACTATAAAGATTGATATATTTGTGTTCCTAAGTGAAAAACTAGGAGTGATATCTTTTTGAATTGACAGTGCTAAGAATATTATCTTTTTAAGACTTTTTCAAACACTCGTTCTTTTATCAAATAAATTATGCGTGTCTTTCACTTTAAAAATAAGACTTAAATAAAGTGGTGAAACATATATGTGTTTTATCTAATAAAAGAGTGAGAGTGAAGGTTAAAAGAGAGTATTAAAAAAATATTGTTAAATAATTTCTTCTTTAAATTTATGAATTATGGAGATGATTGATAAGTAATCCATTAATTTAGTTATAGATAATACATTTTGATTAATTAAATTTGTTATACTTAGTTGACAATTTATGAACTTTAAATAAATTGTAATAACCAATTTTCATTATCTTAATGAAATGCACATTATAAGAAGAATTTCACTCCCCTTGAAAATAAGAGTTTAAGAGAAAGAAAAAAATTCCAAAGTTTGCTTTCTCATTAATCTAGTTTGTGGCGATTATGTGAAAGCTTGTCCAAGAAAAGTATAAACTCTTGCTTTATTTGTCATAGCCCTTTTTTTCTCCTTTGAATAATCAAATATATGGGAATTCTACTTTGAATTTAGCACCTGTGTTCCCATTAATATAAACACACCTCACACTTCCATTGTCAAATTGATAACACAATTTAAAAAATATTTTTTAATCAAAATTTTAATTTTTTAAATAAGATAATTTAGAATATCTATTTAATATTAATTTAACTGGATCACCTTATAAAAAAATTTAATCTCTATTTCTGATTTAGCATAAAAAATAGTTTTAATATTTCTGCATCGCTTTGAGAATTTCCAAATAAATTTTGTAACTAAAATTATTTTAATTGAGTTCATGAACTAAAAAAATATAAGAAACTTTTATTAAACATTTCAATCATTTTTATAAATATAACTTAATTAAATATATGTCCATTTTAAAATAGGAAGTAAATAAATTAATTAATTGGGCTCAAGTGATTACTGAACCTCTTTAAACAAATTATTTGAGAGAATTTAAATTTAATTTCGGATGGAAACAATTTTTTTGTTAAAATTTACTTACCATGCAACTTTGAATTATCAGAGACTTTTTTTTATAAACGGGAGGGTTAACATCAGAAAATAAAATAAAATAAACGAATGTGAGAAGTTGCTTAATTAATATGTGTTAATGGAATTAAATAAAAGTAAATTTGTGGTCTAAAAGTTCAATTTCATAAGAAGATGTTTATTTATATTTATTTGTTAATATAAATACAACAACTAAGTTTTGTACCAATAAATATGATTGATTAAATGAATCAATTTTTTCATAATATTTTATTTAAAATCATATTTTTATCTAAATGGTTAAACTCAAAAAAATAATATATATATATATATATATATATATATATATATATATATATATATATATATATATATATATATATATATATATATATATATATATATAATTTAAAAAAAAAAGAGTAAATCATAAGAGTACATCTTACCTAAATTGTAGCACTTAAAGTCCAAGTCTCACGAATTTTCTCTTTCTAATTGTGTTGTGTATTTGACTAAAGAAAGTGGCCAAATTCAAAAGCCATTAGTGTATTTCTCATCTTAGTACAACAAAACATGTGAGACAAGTCAACAGTTTTACTATGATTATCATGTTCTCTTTCCAACTCATACAACTCTGCCTTTCTATAAATAAACAAAACCCACCTTTAGTTTAAGTTCATCACAACACTTCATTATTATTTTCCTTTTATCTTGGTAGCTGAATGATCCTTCCTTGAGTTACCAACTTTAAGGTCAGAGATTCACTTCTTTTATGTTTAGATTCTTGGATCTTTTATAGATTCTAATAGTTGTTTGCAAACAAAAAGATGTTATTTTCCTTTTCATTCAATTGTGTTCTATTTTGATATTTATTGCATGTGTTAATTGTTTATATATTAGAGAAAGTATTGTGAATTCTTATTCTTAGCTTTTTTTGTTTGAGTTTTTCAATCTATTTGTTTCTTGGTTGTCCAGTGTGTACAAGTTTTGAATTACAATGGAAGAAGATGATGTTTACTCAAAAGATGGAACTGTAGATTATCTTGGAAATCCGGCTAATAGGAAGAAAACTGGAACCTGGAAAGCCTGTCCCTTTATTTTAGGTAATTGTTGTGTTTCTACAAACTCAAACTTTAGTGTCTGGTGTATATAACATCTGTTTGGATTGACTTACTTGACCGTTTAATTAAGTTGTTTACTCAAATAGGGCCGGATGTATAGTATGTTATTCTTATCGGGTTTGTCTTAAGTTTTCGGAGATACTGTATAGGTTAACCACGGTTTAAGAGTGGTAAATCAAATAGAGATCCTATTTTGTCATATTTTAATCGTGACAGATATTTTGAGACCTTTCATGCCCTTAAAGACGACCCTGATGCTTATCATTTGAAGTTTAAATTTATACAGGAAATGAATGTTGTGAGAGATTGGCTTATTATGGGATGAGCACAAATTTGGTGCTATATTTTAAGGAGAGGCTGCATCAACATAGTGCTACTGCTTCAAAGAATGTCTCTAATTGGGGTGGAACATGTTACATAACACCATTAATTGGAGCTTTTGTGGCTGATTCTTATCTTGGAAGATACTGGACTATTGCCAGTTTTTCAATAATCTATGTTATTGTGAGTATAATCACTTCATTATATACTTGATTATTAGCTTTTCAATAATCTATAACGTATTCGACTATTCGCGTTTTTTTATCAGGGAATGACATTATTGACATTATCTGCGTCAGTTTCTGGCATAAAACCAACATGTCACGGAAAAGAAAATTGCCATGCTACTGATCTACAAAGCCTAGTTTGCTTCGTCGCACTTTACCTTATAGCTCTGGGCACCGGTGGAATCAAGCCATGTGTTTCATCCTATGGAGCAGATCAGTTCGACGACGCTGACGAGAAGGAGAAGGAACACAAGAGTTCTTTCTTCAATTGGTTCTATTTCTCAATCAACATTGGAGCTCTCATTGCGTCTTCTTTATTGGTTTGGATTCAAGATAACGTCGGTTGGGGATGGGGATTTGGCATTCCAGCCGTTGCTATGGCGATTGCCGTGGTGAGTTTCTTTTCTGGAACGAAACTGTATAGGAATCAGAAGCCTGGAGGAAGCGCGCTCACTCGTATCGTTCAGGTGATAGTTGCGTCCGTAAGAAAATGCCGTGTTGAAGCACCTTCTGATAAGTCTCTTTTATATGAGATTGCTGATACAGAATCCGCTATCAAAGGAAGCCGCAAGCTTGACCATACAAACGAGTTGAGGTAAAAGAAAATACAAAAAAAAAAAACCGTAGATAACGAATTAGACATTAGCCCGTGTTTAAAGTCGTAAAAAAGAACGATACGTTGTTGTCTTGTTTAATATTTTTCACCTTCTTATTGTCTGTAACAGATTCTTCGACAAAGCAGCCGTGCTCGAACAATCTGATAATCTAAAGGACTCGATAAACCCTTGGAGACTTTGCACTGTAACACAAGTGGAAGAGCTCAAGTCCATTTTGAGATTGCTTCCTGTATGGGCCACCGGCATCATATTTGCAACCGTCTATGGTCAAATGAGCACGTTATTTGTGTTACAAGGAGCTACCATGAACACTCATGTAGGCAACTCTAGCTTCAAAATCCCACCAGCATCACTCTCTATCTTCGACACTGTCAGTGTCATATTCTGGGTCCCGGTCTATGACCGAATCATCGTACCACTCGCAAGAAAGTTCACCGGCCACAAGAACGGCCTAACCCAGCTCCAAAGAATGGGAGTCGGACTCTTCATATCCATATTTTCAATGGTAGCCGCAGCGATTTTGGAGGTCATACGACTTAGAACTGTGAGAAAACACGATTACTATGATCTCGAGGAGATACCAATGACAATATTTTGGCAGGTTCCTCAGTATTTCCTCATAGGTTGTGCAGAAGTGTTCATGTTCATCGGACAATTGGAGTTTTTCTACGAACAAGCTCCCGATGCTATGAGGAGTTTGTGTTCTGCTCTTTCGCTACTCACGGTTGCGCTTGGACAGTACTTGAGTTCTCTGCTTGTGACGATTGTGACAAATATCAGTACGAAGAATGGAAAGCTTGGATGGATACCGGATAATTTGAACTATGGTCACATTGATTATTTCTTTTGGTTATTGGCAGTGCTAAGTGTGCTCAATTTGATAGTGTACCTTTGGGTGGCTAGGTTGTATACTTATAAGAAAACAGTGGGAACTCTTCGCTGAAAAATGTGTTGACTTTTATAATTGAAGTTTCATTAGTACAAAGGAAGATTCCTTTATTATTATTGTAATCTCTTATACCAAATTAAATCACAATATCAGAGTTAGCTTTGAAAATCCATTCTAGTTGTTTTGTAGCTATAAACAGTTATTAAAGGCTTACTAAATTCCCTAATCCTTTAGTCAATGTTTCAAACTCTAGGCATTCATCAACATTTTTGTATAGCACACACTCAATGGATTCAAGTTTTTTTTTATTTAAATCGTGGTATTCAGCGTTATGACCGACTAATCCAAGAGGATCACCGTCCACTAGCATGTCCGGTTTAAGTTCAGAGTAAAGCTTTGTATGGATTAATCTAACATAAGAATTACTAGTATTTAGTAGGGTTCGTGAATGAAATCAATTTTTTTTTTTGAAATCTTAATATTTGACTTTGTAACCGACTAATCCAAGATGATTAATCTTAATGTCTACTAACGGAGTTCTTGTTTAAATATAAATTAATCCAATACAAGAATTATTAGCCCCTAACAGAGTTTGGATTTGAGACCTTGAGATTCAAGTTTGTTTTAGGAGAAGAGTTAGGGTTTAAGATTATTGTTGGGAAGGGAGGTAAAATTGTTTAAAAAATGTCAATTTCAAGGCATTGGATTCCAAACTCCACTTAAGGGAAGTAGTAAGGTGTATCAGCTCAGCATATACTAAATTGAGTTCTTTGTTGTTGTTTTGTTATATATATTTTTTTGGAATTGTAGCTGAAATAGCAATAACTACTATAAACTCATATAGTTATGAAATTTCCTGTATCTCAACTCGGATGATTGTATCTAACTATTCAATATTAGCATTTGCAAGTTTAGCTAAGACTTGGGAATATTCTTTTGTCCTTTTTATAAGTAATTATTTATTTGCAACTTTAGCTAAGACTTGTGGGTATTCTTTTGTCCTTTTTATAAGACAAATTATTTAGAGTTTTTTTAAAATGAATTTTAGTTTCTAGTTTTTAAATTATTTTGTAAATCAAATTTAAAAAACAGTTTTGAAGGGAAAAAAAAATAAAAGAAATATATTTGGTAATTTTAGTTAGGTTTAAAAGCACTTTTGATCTTTCTATTTTAATTTCTTTTAATTTTTAATTTCTCTATTTTAAAACTTAATTTTTTTTTCAACTTTATTTCTATTATGATCTTGTTGGTCCTCCTCTAGTATTGCTGGTGTGTTTATTTTATTTATGACTTAACGGTGATGTGGTTGAACTTAGATAGATCCATGACATTATTATATCTATTAATAAGTAATATTTATTCTTAATATTAATAAAAAAACATTATAACTTACTTTATAATTGAAATAAGGCTTAAATGCACTTTATTCTTTCTATTTTGGCGGTGATTGTGGATGCAAGTGAATTAGGTACTAATCTTAATGATGATGATGACGTACAATGTACTAGTTTTAAAAGTGTCAATAGTGTCGTTGATGATGTTAATAATGAATATATTAATGATGCAAGTGAGTTAGGTACTAACATTGATGGTGTTAGATAAGTGAATAGTCCTACTTTGATGTTAATAACGAACATAGACAAAAGGAAATTAGTGAGGATTATGTTACAAGTGAGGATAGTTTTGAGGATAAAGAGTTTTAATTTAGTGAAGAATCTAAGGAGATGGACTCAACTAAGTACTGTCCACTGAGACTTTATGTCAGGTCTTTAGTGGCAAAAACCATAAAGTTTCAACTGAGATGATTCATGAGGAAAGTAAAAATTATGACCATCTGTATACCCCTCTTTTGAGTGATGATGAGAAAGATGGAATGAAGTGTCCTACTTATAAGTCTGGTGATGGAGTGAAGTTTCATTTGCGGAGGATGTTTACAAACAAAGAGGTGATAAGGGATGTTATCAAGGATTGTGCCATGGAAAAACAAAGTTTTCATTAAGAAGAATGATTCCAAAAGGACAATGATTCAATGTATGGATGGTTGTAAGTTCTATATGAGATTTAGTAAAAGGATCGGTCACCAGTTTTGAAAAATGGTGAATTTTATTGATGATTATACTTGCCACTAGATTGCACACAATAGGAATGCAAATACACAGTGGCTTGCAAAAAAGTTTGCAAATATCCTTAGACGTAGTCCTTATATTAAACCAGCTAGTCTCGTAGTTGAATCCATTGAGAGACGGGGAGTGAAATTATCACATAATCAGACATATTGGGCTCAAAGGATGACAACGGAGTTAGTTTAAGGTGTTGTTATTGATCAATTCACCTATTTCAGAAGTTATGCATAAGAGTTATTGAAATCAAATGCTAATAGCAGTGTTGCACAAACATGTAGACCTCTTATAGGTTTGGATGCTTGTTTTTTGAAAGTGGACTAAGGGGATTGGTTCCTGGAGTTCAATGTATTATTGTTCATGTAGAGTTGGAATTATGTGTAAAGCATTTATATGGTAATTGGAAGATGAAGTACCCTAGGTTGGAATTAAAAGAGATTATGTGGGAAATTTCAAGGGCAACTACGGTACCAGCATGTGGCAAGGAAATGCCAATAATGAAGGCCTTGAATGAAGATGCATGGAAAGATATGTTGGAGAACCCTGCATTCATTTGGATAAGATCACACTTCAGTACATATACCAAGTGAGACCTAAAAGTTAATAACATGCGTGAGACTTTTAATAGGGAAATATTGGAGCATATGGATAAGCATATAATCACTTTATTGGAAAGGATCAAACATTACACAACAAATAGGATAATTAGGTAGAAGGCCTTGTTGTAGAGATACACTAGATCTATATGTCCTAAAATCCAGCTGATTATTAAGAAGAATAAAAATAAATAGAATGTTGGACTCTTACATGGCGTGGTGATGATGATCTTGCAATATTTGGTGTAACAAATGGAATTGAGACTTATCTTGTTCACCTGAAAAAAGGAAACATGCTCAGGTAGAAAGTGGGACTTGTCTGGGATACCTTGTTGTCATGTAATTACATGTATGGAACATCAAGAAAAAACATGAAGATTATGGTGCTGAATATTATAGGTATGAATGGTACCATTTATGATTATTATATATGAAGAATATAGCAAAAAGTCACTACAAGGAAGAAGGAAGATATAAATATTTGGTGAAAAATATGAAGAAAAAGGAGGGGGAAAGCTGATTTTGCCACTGGATTCCTCGCACGTGTGATGCAACCCATTACGGAGCGATGAGGATTACATCGCGGCGTGATAATGGCCTGTCGCAGAGGGATTGTCACTTTTCAACTGACATACTTTTTTTCTATTTATATATTGGCCACTTTTTCAAGGGTTCCGAATTTTGAGAAGAAAGTGACAGTTAGGGCCATTCAAGGAGCAATTTTGGAGCACATTGGAGAATAACTCTTCCATAGATTTTGATGATGAATACTTATCCACTCATGGTATTTGTTATCTTATCAATGAGTAGCTAAGTTTCTCTAGACTAGGACTTTTTTAGAATAACCTTGTTTTTACGATATTGCATCATATGATTGTTTGAAATTTGTTCAGTATATTCAATGTTATTATCTTATTTAAATTGTTTTTATGTTTAATTCTTTTTTCGCTTACGAGCGTATGAGTCGATCTAGATAATTAGTGATTTCTAATTGTTAGTCTAATTATTTGAACTAGGTAGTTTATTCAACTTTGTAATGATTTAAGAATAGAAATTCACGAGTTGTTTCTTATGAATTAACGCACTGACAATTCCTAATTTGTCTTTGAATTAGCCTAAGTGAAATTCTGGAACAACAAAACAAATGTCGTATACGATTTCAGAACAACATGATGTTGAAAGCTAGGTCAAGACATTATAACGACATAGTAAAACATTGAACAATTTAAACAACTAGATGGGAGTAAATAACACGGGTCAATTGTTAACCCAGTTCAGTGCAACATCACCTACATCTGGGGGTGTTGCACCCCAAAATTTGCCCTCCCATATTTTTCAAGAAATTGCCAAGCCAAGTCACAAAATTCCCCAAGGGTTGCACAGTCCAACTGTCTCCTATACAGTCAAAACTAGGGTTTTGTGTTCTGATCAAGAAAGGAAGTTTTCAAAGGCCCAATCAAGTCCCATATGCCTACAAATATGGTTAAGTATCCTCATATCAAGTTTCAAGGCATTCAGCTCAAAATTGCACAGTCAAAACCCTAAATTGCACTACAGTCAACTGTAGGGGCAAAATGGTCATTTGACAGTCAAAAGTTCAAATTTTTGGTCAACATATCATTTTGAAGCCACAAACATCATTTGATCAATGCTTGATCATGATTCTCAAAATTTGGCTCAGAAAATCATCAAGATGCAAAAGTTTCCTTATTTGGACAGTTGAAAAAGTCAACTGAAATTGACCAGGGCATAACTTTCACATGGATTATCAGAAAAATTCCATCCAAAGCTCATTTTGAAGAGAAAGACATTTCCTACAACTCATCTTCATACTTCAAGTCCAAGAAATGCTCTCACAAAAAGTTATCAATTTCAACATTATAGGTCATTTTCAAAAGTCAACAAAAAGGGACTTTAAGTCAAAGGCCATAACTTGAGATTGGTAAATCAAAATGACATGGGACCAAAGGCATTGGTTAGAGGACTCAAAGACCTTTCCAAAATGTCCAAGAACATGAGAAAAGCTTAAACATTGAGCAAGTTATGCCTTGTGGAAGTTGGGAAATTTTTGGATATTTTGAAAAGTCAACATTGATTCAAATGACCTAAAAATGCTAATGGGCCCATTTTTCTTCCATGATTCATCATTTCAAGCATGTGCACGACCACTTGGCCCAAAGGGAAGTATTTTCTCATTTTTTATTTATTTATTTGGATTTTTATTTATATTAATTCAATTAAATCAATTAAATATATGAAAAATGTTTAAATTAACCAAACCAATCTTTTTATACATGTTTTAAGGTCAATATTTCGTGCACATGCTAATTAGGAAAGA